AATTAACCAGTCAAATCACTCCACCAACTAAGAACGGCCATGCACCACCACCCATAGAATCAAGAAAGAGCTCTCAATCTGTCAATCCTTGCTATRTCTGGACCTGGTGAGTTTCCCCGCGTTGAGTCAAATTAAGCCGCAGGCTCCATGCCTGGTGGTGCCCTTTCGTCAATTCCTTTAAGTTTCAGCCTTGCGACCATACTCCCCCGGAACCTGTAAACTTTGATTTCTCACAAGGTGCTGGCAGAGTCATCCAATAGACATCCGCCAATCCCTAGTCGGCATCGTTTACGGTTGCGACTAGGACGGTATCTGATCGTCTTCGATCCCGCAACTTTCATTCTTGATTAATCAGAACGTCCTTGGCAAATGCTTTCGCCGAAGTTCGTCATCCATAAATCCAAGAATTTCACATCTGACAATGGAATACGAATGCCCCCAACCGTCTCTATTAATCATYACTCCAATCCCGAAGACCAATGAAATAGGATTCGAGTCCTATCGCGTTATTCCATGCTAATATGTTCTGAGCACATGCCTGCTTTGAACACTCTATTTTTTTCAAAGTAACAGCGCCGACTCTAGATCCCAGCCAATAAATGCAAGGAACGCATACCCGGCAAGAAAGGTGAAAGGGCTGGTACACGCCCGTAAGAGCGGACCAACCCCTCCCACCCAAAATCCAACTACGAGCTTTTTAACTGCAACAACTTAAATATACGCTATTGGAGCTGGAATTATCGCGGCTGCTGGCACCAGACTTGCCCTCCGATGGATCCTCGTTCAAGGAGTTTACAACTGTTCTCATTCCAATTACCGGACTCGAAAGAGCCCAGTATTGTTATTTATTGTCACTACCTCCCTATGTCAGGATTAGGTAATTTACGCACATGCTGCCTTCCTTGGATGTGGTAGCCATCTCTCAGGCTCCCTCTCCGGAATCGAAACCATAATTCTCCGCCACCCGTTACCACCATGGTAGGCCTCTMTCCTACCATCGAAAGTTGATAGGGCAGAAATTTGAATGGAACATCGCCGGCTCAAAGGCCATGCGATTCGACAAGTCACCACGATTCGCCGCAACAACGAGCAAGCCCGGATCGGTCTTTTATCCAATAAATACATCCCTTCCAGAAGTCGGGATATGCTGCACGTATTAGCTCTAGAATTACCACGGTAATCCGAGTGGTAAGGAGACCACCAAATAAATGATAACTGATTTAATGAGTCATTCGCAATTTTTATTTTTTTTTTTCACACACGCACACTTCCCCTTCTATTCTGGGGGGCACCAGTCATGTTGCTTATCACCGGCAAGCAAAAAGAATTACAGTGAATTAGCGAAGGTAGTAGAAAAGTATAGAGGAGAAGGCCTTGCCTGCCTGGCACGAGACACCAAACAGCAGGGGACTGGGGCGGGGATGGCCATCCACGATGGCGGGAGGGACGCCGGGGCGGGGCATGAGGGGCGGGAAACATCCAGACGGTACCCGGACACCCTCATGGCTCGTCTCGGCCTTCCACTCCCCCGTGAGAGGGGCATTCCCGCCCAGTCAACTGGCCTCACAACCGATCCGTACCTGTTAATCCTTATACTCAGGGTATTTCACCTATACCTCCTATTCCCTATCTGTTCTATTCACAATAGTTCTCGTACCATCCGTTACTATGTACAACATTGATAAACTCGCTGATACCTGGACTAAGATAGACCCACGTTAACCGTTTTGCTGCTGTGTTAATCCAAGCCTCCTCATTTTCTCAGCAACACCGCCCCTCCCCCCCCCCCCCCCCCCCCCCCCCCCCCCCCCCCCCCCCCCCCCCCCCCCCCCCCCCCCCCCCCCCCCCCCCCTCACTTTGCACCTATAGCCCTACTATCCCC